TATGAATTATAAGACCAATGAAATGTACCTTTTTATAGATACAACAATTCACATTTTTAATACAACTTAGACAATAATAAACATATGCTCATTTTTTATTATCTTATGAACTTAAAAATCGAACCAAGAGATGATTATTGATTAAATTAAAATTTTGCACTTGTATGTTTTTTCATCTTTTCAGAACAAAATAATAACAAACAACAAAAAATAATTCGCAACAAAATAATAAAAAAAAAAAAAAAAAAAAAAACCACTGAAGTATGAAAAGTTACATAATTTTCGGCTAATTTTGCATATTTAGATTCCAAAGTGGAACCGGAAGATATTGATTATTCTAAAAGTTTTGCTTTACATATTCTTACAATTTATTTCGCGATTTTTTTCTTTAATTTCAGAAAAATCTGAAATTAAAAAAATTAATGAAAATTAATGAAACACCCCGATTAATCTGAAATTTTGTACTTAAAGATACCCAGGTAAATTTCCGCTACGCAGCTTGACTATCGATGCGAGACGCATTACACACTTTGTCACACTCTCCCTCGATTCTCTTCTTTTCTGAAAGAAGTGACTGCAACGCATGCTAGTGAATCAGTTTATTTATCGATCCATTAATACATTGAATTATGTCTTGTCTAAAGGGTAAATAATTTAATGTCGATTTCAGTATCTTTTCTTCGAAATAGTTATTTGTCATTAATGAAATGCTCAATAAAGCATATTTTTTTCACAGAATTTCCATGACAACGAATATTTTTTGGAAGCAATGAGTTTAAATTTTCCATGATATTTTAATTAAAGAATGTGATTTTTTTTTCTTTTCTAGTATTATATTTCTATCTCTGAATATTTTTACGTTACATTTATTCCTTGAGTCAGGTTTTTTTTTATATATTTTTATGTTGCTGTTTGTCTATGAAATACTAAATCCATTTATTATTTGCTCTTTTTTCTATGTCTGTCTTTTTTTGCTCTGTTTTCTATGTCTGTCTGTCTTCTGTCTATGAAATACTAAATCTATTTGTTCTTTTTTCTTTAATTTCAGAAAAATCTGAAATTAAAAAATATAATGAAAATTGAAACATCCTGATTAATCTGAAATTTTGTACTTAAAGATAACCATTTTGTACGAAAAGATATCCAGGTAAATTTCCGCTACGCAGCCTGACTATCGATGCGAGACGCACTACACACTTTGTCACACTTTTCCTCGATTCTGAAATAAGTGACTGAATCGCACGGCAGTGAATCAGTTTATTTATCGATCCATTAATAATAGAAAAAGAACGTAAATTAAGATAATTGTGTGGGGTCATACTTTATATGACGTCTTACGTGAAAATCAACGAAAAAATTCAGGAATATAATGAAGTACAAAATTACCCATTATTTTCCCCCAAAATTACCCATTATGCATCATCTTCATGCTTAAAAATTGGATAATAAATTGAATAGTAGATAGTTAATAAATTGTAAAGCTAGTAAAAAATGTTAAGGATACACTTTTTTTTTTTAAATAAATGTTTATACATTTTAATATTTTGATTTTATTTTGCAGAATGTAATTGTAATTGGCAGAAAATATATTGTCCCACTACCAAACTTCATACAAACACGAGGGGGAAAAACCATAGAGAAAATGATGAGAAATATTTCAACACCTAATGTGATTTTATCTAGGGCCTGAATGACCGAGTGGCTAGCGCTCTGGCCCTCGGTACCACAGGTTTCGGGTTCGAGTCCCGGCGGTGCCATGGGTGTTTGTAGTGGTTCGGAATCCACTTTAAACCGTAGCTCTCGGTCTAATATGATCGTAGAGCGTTGCGGGAGCATTGTTACTCCACGTCCGTGGCTTATCTTCAAGTTACACGCGCCCCTAGGTAATGCAAAGTGAGTAACGCCTGTGCAGCGCTTGCCTTAAGGCATCCAAGACCAAGCTGTCTAAGTGTTTGCCAGCTGCATTAGAAAGAAAAAAAATTTGATTTTATCTTGTTTGTTAGAAAAAAAGATTGCTTTTTAGAATATTCAAGTTTCAGTTTTAAGAATGTATAAAATAAAACGCATGCACTGAAAAGATTAGAAATTCTACACAAAAAATACACACAAAGTACTTAGTGTATCATTCGTAGATATGAGCATAAATAATAAATTTAGAAATTCAAATAAACCATAACTTCTCATAGGGTGTTATTGTGCAAAGGCATAATGATAAGAATGTCACACCTCGTAGTTAAACTGATATCCTGCTAGATTTGTAAATACGTCTTTCAACCACACGACCTTGCATTGTGTAATAGACAGTAAAAACACTCTATAACCGCTGAAAATACCCCAAGAATTATAAAAACGAAAACTGTTAATAATAAATTTTTAAAACGTACCGGGCTCCGTAAAGTCACGTGAAAGACAACTTTGCATATTTTTAAGTACAGATTAATTATTTATTTATACTGTAGTTCTAACCATTACTTCAGAATAACTTATTCCAAAACAAAGGCATATTTAGTGAAGGAAGAAATGTCCCTACAAATTATTTTATTGAATAATGACTTGAATTCATCAATCAAACAAATATCTAAACAAAACTGAGCTATTTATTACGTGTTAAATTATATTTTTTCTCTTTATTCCCTAATAAACAAAAAATAAGCTGATTACCTTTGTTTAATTATTTATTTATACCGTTGTTATGATCATTACCTCAGAATAGCTTATTTCCATAACAAAGGCATATTGAATGAAGGAACAACATGCCACTGCAAATTATTTTACGGAATTATTATTTTTCTGTAAAATAATTATGAAACTCAACTATGCCACTCTTTCTTATTTTTTTATCTTAAAATAATGTTTCTTATATTGAATATTATTCTAAAATGCAAAATATAGATATTTTTTTTTTCCTTATCTCACTTGGTAGACAGCAACATCTAGATCAAGTCCAAGAACCCTTATGGTCTCATGGAAGGAGGGTTGGGGCATGGATGTTTGTTAGTGGTTCAGAATCCACTTTGAACTTTAGTTTCCGGTCTAATTAGTCTAAAGTGCGCAAAAAAGGACCGTAGAGAGAGAAAACAAACCATGGAAGGAAGGAAAGAGGGAGGGGCACTTTTGCTGTGATGGAGCACACGTAGGTAGAAATCTGACTTGACTCCGAGTCGCCGAAGAAGGAGGGTAGTGCCTTCCGGTAGGACCTTTTGGGCGAACTACCCCGCATTTGCGTACTCTATGGGAGAAAACCCGGAAAACTCTTATTAGATAGTCCGACTCACGAGGCAAGATGCTGAACATCCCAAACACCATCGAGTCTCTTCGTTTTTTGAAACAGAAAACTTAAAAAGTGTACAACAAAGCCGCCAGAGGGTTGGAACCTTCGCCCTAATTTCCACCAGCGGCGCGCGTTGCCCCTGAGCCACGAGTTCGGCTAATATTCAGTTTTAAAAATGCTACAAAATTCATACTTGATTAAAAAATAATAATCTGTAATTATTTTGAGTGGTTTAATATAATGGTTTCCAAATTGAGGAGTGTGTAGTTTTTACAGAAATAAATTACAATACCTTAAATTAATGAGGAAAAATATACAAAACTTCTTCGTGAATATAAACGTTTAGTTACCATCTAATTCAAAAATGATTAATAAGTATTCTAGGTTTTATACGCATTTTTTCTACGGACGCAAGTTTTATAACAGTTTTATTCTAGGTACGCATACGTCTCAAAACCATTAAGTATTATAATTTTCTTTTTCAAAATTTTGGGTGTTTGTTAGTGAAGAATTCCGGTTATTAAAACATTCAAGGTAATTTAAACAACAAATATCTATTTCTAATCCCTGCATTTGTGCTGTTTTAATCAGTGGCATTTTTGTTTCGAATTTCATGAAGTCAAAATTCAAAGAAAAATAATTCTAAAGAGTTTAGATGGTTCCTTTAGAATTTTTATTTATTTATTTATTTTTTTTTATAAATAAAATAATATTTGTTCTAAAAAACAAAACATTTCTAACGAAATCCCATTGGTGAGATAACAAGTTATTTTATAAAATGAAAGTTATTTTTAAGGAAATTAATTTATAAAGAAACGTTAAAAAAGAAATATAATGTTATTAAAATGGACCTGATTTACGATTCAAGAAAATACAAAATTTTATAAATAACAATAACAACTTTTCATTAAAGTATTTGATAACACTAAAATAACAAATAACAGTTTTTTGTATAGAAAATGAATTCATAATATTTTTAATTTTTATTTTATAAATAAATCAAATAAATTATGAACAGTATATTAGTACGTAAAATCATAAAAAAAAGTTTAAAAAAAATTCTCAAAAAATTATATGAGGTACATAAAAATTATAAATATGTCCAAAAATGGCATGGGGTTTTTATTTACGTTGTTCATATTCCATAAAATTTTGAAATTGAATTAGATTGTTTAAATTTTTATCTCTCATTTACAAAATAGCCAACGGCCGTACCATGCTGAATATACCGGTTCTCGTTAGATCACCGAAGTTAAGTCAGTCAGGGGTGAGGAATGAGGCACCAATGCCTTAAAGGCTTACAACCTCAAGTGCTAAGATGGTAAGGTCTGGCAAGTATTAAAGAGATAACAGTTGTATAATAAAAATGACTTGAAAACGGATTGAGAACCAGTACACGCAGCGTGGTACCCGTAAATTAACCACCCATGGAACAAGATGAAAGATGACAACTATGAAAGCTCTATGTGCAAAAATCCCATAAAGCTTTATTTAAAATTCAGACATACACATACACAGAAATACAATGATCACACACAGGTGATTGAATTGATTGAAATAATGATGTATAACATATATATAAAAGATACTGGTATATTATAAGTAATTAATGAAAATATAAGACAAAACTAAAAGACATTGTACGAATAGCTTGTAGGACATAGAATTAATGTATAAAATGTAATTAGACATTATGGCTAGAAGTGAAGAAGATATGGTAAAAATATAAATCACCGAAGTTAAGCATCATTGGGCGCGGTCAGTACTTGGGTGGGTGACCACCTGGGAACACTGCATGCCGTTGGCAAATTTGGGACCTGAATGGCCGAGTGTCTAGCGCTCTGGCGCTCGGTGCCACAGGTTTTGGGTTCGAATCCCGGCGGTGCCACGGATGTTTGTAGTGGTTCGGAATCCACTTTAAACCGTAGGTCCCGGTCTCCTATGACTGTAAGAGCGTCACGGAGCAAAAGTCAGGCTTCTACCTACGGGTGCTCCATCACAACAGAAGCTGCTTCCTTCCCCTTCAATCATGAGTCCATATGGGCTCGTGGGCTTGGCCAGCCAAGTGGGATAAGAAACAACAACAACAACAACAAAATAGAAAATTTCAATAAGAAACATCACTTTTATTAAGGCCAAAGTGTTTGATTTGTTGAAATTTTTCTATATAGACACTTTTTTACTAATTGAAAGTTTATTTCCAAGCAACAAAACAAGTAAAATGATCATAATTAAAAAAATCATTATTCTATTCATAACGTTTTATTTTCAATATCCAAAAAGTTATATTTAGAAACATTTCTTATGCATTGATTAATTCCATTTATTGAAAATCATGAAAAATATAATTTTTTATGTAGGAGTGGTGTGTTATGTTTTAACTATTTACTAAATATAATTATTTCAACAGGAAATAATGGTAAGGGATTTTCCATTTTCACTTTACAGTATACTTAATGTGATAGCACAAGTGGTGCTATCCGATATTTTTAGTTACTGTGACCCTCTCATGAACCGGAAATTTATAACTGATATTGCATACATCTTGAGAAACCTTGGCGGACATTTTGCAGTTTGACAAGCGCTATCGTCTAACGATTAATATCGTTATTAAATTAAGTGTCTGGAAAATCCAATGGGCTGATGATACGAAATTTGTGTTTCTAAATTCGTTAATACACACATCTGTAGTTACTGATATTAAAATAATTTCTACTGGGCAAAAGTGCTATAAAAACATTTTCACTTCTTTTAGTGCATATATTCAGTAGATTTTAAGTGTTTATTTTATCGTTAGGATGTTTTATGTCACAGATGTTAATTATTTCAAATATGATGGTTTGGTTTGTTTCTGTATGGTCATTTTGTGTACACGTTGGGTTAATTAGACCGGGACCTACAATTTAACGTGAATTTCGAACCACTCGCCAACATCCATGCCACCGCCAGGATTTAAACCTGATATCCGTGCCACGAATGGCCAGAATGCTAGTCAATTGGCTATCAGACCTCTACAAATATGAAGAATCTTAAAAAAACTATTGAAAAAAATTATATTATTCACTAAAAGTACTTAAAATTTTTTTATAAACAAACAAACAAACAAGAACTATAATAATAATAATAATAATAATAAAATAAAAATAACAACGATAATAATAATGATGTATCTCAATAAATAGTTCCCACCACCCAAAATTAGTTTTAAATTATAATGTATATAATTACTTGCTTATTACTCTATTACAGGGGTAGTTAACCTTTTTATACCTACCTCCCCCACTTTTGTGGCTATATTAGTTATAAAATTATCTAACCGCCCACCGTTTCCACAATAATGGGGATCTTTAAAGTAAGGAAGTAACTTTACTTTAAAAAATTTATGAAGCAGAGTTACAGCAAGTTAAAGCATATAATAATAATTACTTTCCAAGTACTTTATGTCGAACTTTCGCCACGTTTGACAGGATAAATCTTTATAAAACAACTTACTGTAGTTACATCTACCTTTTTATTTATAATTTGCATACATAGAGGCATGAAGTCTGATGAAATTACATTTAATTAATTACATTATTAATGAGATCCATGAGGCAGATGCTACCAAATTAAATGAATATCTGGGTTAATTTTTTTTAAGGTACGAACAAAGATAACCTCTTTTGGAAATATTAAGGACATTTTTTTTTTCTTTGGTCATATTATGATCAGCAGCACTAAAACTTGATTCCACAATATATTTTAATTTACGACTCGTTATAAAATATGAAAACGAAAAATTTTTATGAAAAACCTGATGAAATGTTTTTAAATACTTCTATGAAAACTTTAAAAAAAAAATACCTTAAAAAATTTCATTTAAACGTTTTTATGGAGTATGGAGAAAATTACCGCCCAACATGAAAACTTGTGCGCCTACAAGTACAAGTTAAGGACCAGGATAACTACCACTGCTCTATTGGGTAATTAAAAAATGTATTTAGTTTTTAAAATTACTGATTGTTTCAATTTAGCGGTGAATTAATTGGCTTCTTAAAATATTTTTAATAGGAACTTTAAAGATATAAATATAATTTTGGATTGTTGAATGAAAATCTGAATGTAAATAGGATCCATAATCTAGGTAAATAGGATTTTGAATTATTGAATGAAAATCTTATTGTAAATAGGATCAATAATCAATGTAAATAAGATTTTAGATTGTTGAGTGAAATTCTAAATGTAAATAGGACCAATAATCAATTCAAATATGATTTTGGATTGTTGAATTAAAATCCGAATATAAATAGGATCTATAATTAATATAAATATGATTTTAGATTGTTGAATGAAATTCTGAATGTAAATAGGACCAATAATGAATGCAAATATGATTTTGGATTGTTGAATGAAAATCTGAATGCAAATAGGATCAATAATCAATGTAAATATTTTGGATTGTTCAATGAATATAAAATTATTTGGATTATAATTTAATTAATTGTTTTGAAAAGTTATTTTGATTTTTATACTTAACAAACACTTCCTGAATTTGTGGTTTTATGCAAAACAAATGTTTTTAACAAGAAAATAGTTTATTATTTAAAACCAGTTTAAATAACGTTTTCATTTGAAGAATCCCGAGCGAATTAAACTATCAACTTAATTACAAAAGGATCATGCATTTGTTATGCGGTATTTTTCAAAAACAAAGTGAAAATAATAGAAAACAAACTTTTAAAAATATTAAAAATTTTCAGCCGTATGTTGTCTACAACGTATAATAATTTTGATTTATGATGCGTAAATTCCCTGAATTCGAATTATTACAGGATATAAAAGATTTACCACCGGAGCAGCAATCTGATGTGATATATACATTTCGGAAAAGCAGTTAACATACAGAAAAGTAGTAATAACATACCAGTCACATAACAGAACAGTAGAAACCCAATATTGCAAGAATACGGCGTATTTTATTTATTATGTATTATTGATTGCGAAAAAGGGATTAAAAGCTATTTAATAACTTAATGTTATATGAAAAGATTAAATAACTTAATAGATAGCATAGATTATTTCTGCGGAAAAACATTAAGTAATAAAAAAATGATCAGAATCATGAAATTAAATAATTTCAACTCTATTTTAATGGAATTTTATTTGAACCAATTATTATTATTAAACATATAAAAATATTATATAACTGCTTTTGATTTCTGAAATGTGTGAAATGGATCAGTATCATCTGGTCTGATATTATTTGTCGAAAAGCGTCATACTTTAATTAATGTATGAAAATCTTAAAAGAAATTTAACATTCTAAAACCTGAAATGAAGTGCTCTATCCATTATGATAAGTACTAATCTTCTTATTCGTAGAAACGTTGCTTTATTTCCAGAAGAGTTGCTTTGAAATACTGCATGAAATATATTTATAGTTAGTGATTAATAGTATAGAAACAGAGTAAAAAAATAATTTATGAGGATGTAATGATAGATATGCTTGATTAATGCTAATTATAATATTACTTAAAATAATATTATAATTAACATGAATATTATGATATCGTAATTATAAAAATTAATTATAATATTATAATTAATTAATGTTAATCATAATATTTTTATTAAAGATTATTAATGTTAAAGAAATTAGTAAATAATAAAGGAAAGGCGATCGCGGAAATCATATTAGCAGGGAGGAAAAAAAAGATAGTTAAAATTAAAATTAAATTTCTCTAATATTTAGCGTAGTGGTAAATGATAGTTAATGGTTAACGATGATAGTTTCCCTGTAATAAACAAAAAGGAATTTCATAAGCCTTCAAGCGTTCAGTGCTATGAGTATTTTCCTCATTTCCCCCCTTTTAAAAACACCATTAAATTTTCAATAAACTTTGCATCGAACCTGAATTTATCACGAGATTAAAAATAATTGGAAAAACCACTTCAGACGAAAGTAATTTTCAATTTCCTTAAAAGATTCCATAATTTCGAATTGAATCTTTTTTTGCATCGGAAATAAACTAAACTAAACTAAACTAAACTAATTATTTAAAGGGAAAAAAAGAAAAAAAAAAAGATACTATAGAGTTGCACAGAATGCTTATTTGAATGGGCATTTGTTCAATTTGTACTGCACCCCTCCATTTCACAAATTTTCTTTGGGTTTTCAATGTAAACGTATACTTTACTTCTTCTACTGATATGAAAATAATTTTTATTAGAAAAAAGTGCTATAAAAACATTTTCACTTCGTTTTTTAATTAATGCATTCAGTAGATTTTATGTGTTTGTTTTATCTTTAAGATTTTATGTCATAGATGTTAATGACTTCAAATATGAAGTTTTAAAAATATTGAAAAAAATTATGATATTATACATTAAAAATACTTTAACATTTTTTTTTATACGTAAATAATCATATTAAATAATATTAATATATAAAATATATAAAAAAAGTGAAAATATATAAAATAATATTTTCACCAATAGATTCTTGCATTCAATAGATTTTTAAGTGTTTATTTTATCTTTAGGATATTTTATGTCATGGATTAATAACTTCAAATATGAAGAATCTTAAAAAAATTATGCTATTATACATTAAAAATACGTAAAAATTTTTATACCCAAATAATAATAATAATGATACAATTTTTTTTTACATGGAAAACAAATTAAAGTAACAAAATTGTATAAAGAGAAAAAAAAATACTATAGAATAGAATAGAACAGAACAGAATTCTTATTTAAATGAGCATTTGTTTAATTTGTGCAGCATCCCTCCAATTCACAAATTTTCTTTGGTTTTTCAATGT